TTTGTGCTAGTTTTTCATATTGGATATTTTATTTGGCTTTTCTGAATTGAACGTGCTTTAATTAATTTTCTGCGTGTTTATATAACTATTTTGTCCATGGGGTATGCATATCTTATGGTATGTTCTTGGAACATGTCCCCCTGCGTGAGCAAACCATACCCAATGATAAACTACAAGAAAAGGAAAATTATTCCAAAAATACAACACTGTTAGTTCACATCCTCCCTGCAACATGCAATTTTCCTCCAAAGTCTTTTTGAGACCTTACCAAAAAAGAAAAAAATTGAGAGAGAGATAGAAAACAAACTATTTCAAACTATTTGAGACAACATTTGGTCTGGAAGATTAATCTCACAGGTTTCAAATGGTATTCTCCCCATCAGTGTCCATGGGTCCATCAGAATGTCTTCCAAATTATTATCTGTCAGTTGTGATGGGGAATGCAAAATCCTTGGAGTAAGGACAGTATGTATATAGCATTGAGAACAGTGATACTGCTTGATAATGGAAAGGAGTTTTATTATCATCTACCCTACTGTTTAAATGATGTTATTTGTAATTTGTAGGGTAAAGATGTTACTAACTGCTTAATGAGAATTTGTGAGTCATGAAAAACTAACAGAAAGGCACCTGTTATGACTTTCCACCCTGTTGTTCCAGTTATTTAATAATAATTGCAGAAAGTGACAAGGGATGTCTGTCACTCCCATTGCTTTATCAGACGAATACCTCTACTGATATTAAGGAAGTTACTAATATGAACAAGTGTTTGTGGACTCAAACTATTCTATGCTTCTATAACAAAAGACCTTAAACTGGCAATGACTGAACTGCGGTTCTAGGACCAAAGGAAGAGGAACTGCTGATGTGGCTGCCCTTTTGTGTGTCAAGTTCAAACCATATTAGATGGGTTCCAGGATACTGGGGGTGTTACTTGAAAGCCTGTGATCTCCCAAATACATAAAACCACATTTATGGCATATGGATTCTAAAATAATTTTTAATATGGATGTCCATGTGTGATTCACTGCTGTACTGCTTCTGGACTGTTGATTGAAAAATAGTGTGCAATATTGTTATGATATTGTAACCTTGTCTCTGATAAAATCAGTCAATGTTAAGAGAGCTGAGTTTTTTTTAGATTTGTCAGACCATAAAACTGTAATATTAATGTTGCCTTTAACAATATCTAGTTACTATCTGTTCCTATTCAACAACTGTCTTTATTTTTATTGGCTTTAGTTACACTGTGTTTTTTAGAAAGTGTTCTATGAACCGACTTTTCTGTAATCTCTTTAAAGCTTCATTACCTTTTGGATGACATGGTAATTTTCATTTCTATATTTGTAACTGCCTTTTATTCAACTTTTTCACTTTGATTTTTCTCTACAGAAGTGCATATGTTTACTCATTTATTTGGATAACTTTTAATGAAAATTTGCATATTCACAAGGACACTCTAGTACTTTTAGACAAGTTGTGTTTGCTTTCTTAAAAACCATTTTGAAAGCTGGCCCTGTCCAGCCCCCTTTAAAAATAATAAAACTGTCCCTCTGAGATATAGCTAAGATCTTAGACGGTAAACGAATTGGTACGAGAATGAAACACAGATACTTTGCAGTCGTGTAACATAGCTTTGATAGCCTTTGCAAACCATACTAGAGTAAGGCCCTCTCCATGACTCAGAGATACCTCAGGTACTATAAGACTGGCTTACTCTTGGAAGTATATTTTTCTCATATCTTAAAATTACAGGTGGAAGACAGAGTAGTGTATGAGAATTTTGATGAGGGTAGTTTATAAAATTTTTGTCTTCCTGTGAAACAGTTTGATAAGATTTTACAAAATTTTGCAAAGCTTTTTGCTCTGTTTGTATTAGTAGCCAGTTTTCTTTCAAAAATCAGAGGCAGAAATTATTGTTTCTTTTTTTGGATACTTGATGTCAATCATAAGGGCCTGAATTTTCTGTACCATGGAGATACCTTTAAATAATCTCTGTTCAGAATATTTTTCTTCTGTCATATTTGAAAAGGAGTGGGTGGCAAGGACTTTAGAGCTATCTGGATATAAAGCAAACAAAAGGTAGCAGAGGCACATGAATTATACAAGTTCCTCAGAAATGCAGAACTGGAAAACTCCTAAGTTTTTTTAAAAATTACTTACTTTGAGCATACTGGCATTTCATTTACTGGCTTTCCTTAACAATATTACAGTTGAACAACAAGACTGCTCCATTTTTTTTGAAAAAAAAAAGTAATGTTTATCTATCCTTTTTACATGAAAGCTTTTTAAACAACAAAAAACTCAATTCCCTTTCAGTTAGTTTAAGGAACTAAACCAAGCGTAAATCTCACCAATAAATGCACTGCTTGCATTTAAGACTGAATTCATGCCACTGGAGCACTGCAGCACTTAAACTTCTTTTCCCGAATCGGAATCTTTATTTGCAAATCACCAAGTGCAAAGACTACAGAGAGGCTGTAGGAACATCCTGATTTTGATTGCAGTTGTTTTTTGGTAACATATCTTACCTGCATCAGAGGCTTCAGCTGATAAGCAATAATTTCATTTTTCTACCCAGTCTTTCTTGCTGTTTTTTCCCTCTTTATGCTTTATGCCAGTGTTCTACCACTCCAACAATGCATGCAATATCCTGGCATAAAAAGACGTAATAGAAATACTGCTTGTCCAAGTAAAATTATTGTTTTGTTTCATTCTCAAATTTAATACAGTTTAATATCTTTTTGTCCCCAAGTTTTTGCTTTGCTACCTAACCCATTAATGGTATCTGACTTCTTAATGATTTTTCAAATTTCTTTGGCCATCAATAGGATACAGTATTAGTTTTGTAATCTGAAAGTCAGTTTTGTCAACTAAGTAAAATATTTTTGATAAAATTAACTCTCTCAGAGAATTCTAATAGGTTTGTAATTGATTAATTTAGAGTTGAACAGGCTAAAAATGTTCATAAAATCCACACTGTTATTAGGAAGTGCTAGGAGAAGCACCTGCTCTTCTTTCTTAGTGTGTTTCTATTCAGCGGTACCCACAAATCATTCAGTGTGTCCATTACTCTGTTACTGGATGTAGGAGCCTAAGGCCTGCCTAGATTATGCTTTAAAATTTGCAGTGTTTTATGATGTTTGCTTTTTACCATTGTTGCTCGTAAGCATCTTCTGTGAATATCTGTAGATGCAAATTAATAGCAAACTATCTCATATGCAGAGTATTATTATTGTACTACTAGTAAATACATATTTTTTCCCAACATTTAAGTAAATTATTGATTACAACAATTCCACCAATTCCAATTTCTTTTCTTTTCCTAAAAGATGTCTTAAAATTGCTAACAATATATTACTAAGGGTATTTTTGCATAGGTGACAAAGAGCCATGCAGCCTGGCTGGCCCCTGGGTGACTATAACGTGTCGGCTCACCGTGTCAGTCTGTCGGGGCAGGGCCTGGCACCCACTGCCTGTTCCAGCCCCAGCCAGGAGCAGGGCAGCGGTGGGGACAGCCCTGGGCATCAGGCAACTTTTTGGGTACAGGAATGGGCTGAAGGCATTCTGGGACATGGGGCTGCAGGGGGGCCCCACAGGGGCTGGGCAGGGTTGTGGGCAGCTGAAGACCGGCCCTGCTGCTGCATTGCTGGGGCAGGGGCTGAGAGCCCTGAGGGCTGACATGGACTTCTAGGCCACCAGTGGGATGAGGGAGGTCCCAGAAGGCTGACATGGGGCCCTGTGGGCAGGGTGGGGGAAGTCCCATCTTGGGTTCCCTCAGGTGTCCTGGGTGGTGGGCTGGGACAGGCAAGAACTGAGTGCTGTCAGGGCCATTCAAGCAGGAGTGTTATGCTCCCTGTTCTGTTTTTGTTCCCTCGAGTAAAATATCATCTACGTTAATTGCATAAATGCTATTAATTGAAATTCTCATTTAAGCCTGTCCATGATATTTCAGATGAATAAGTGAATTTATATATTATATATGAGTTAGTACACATATTCATTGTTGCTGTTGTGAGCTTGTACTTAAGACATCATCATTACAGATGACGAGACAAAACTCTGTTCTCTTTTTTGATCTGCAGAGGCATTGCAAATCTTATGTAATCCTTACATAGATAGATTTCTTCACATGAGTTTGCTCCTTTCAGATTATTAATTTGTTATGTAAATATTGTTTTATCTTTAATTATTTACTAAAGGAAATCCTTGCAATAAATAATCCTTAGGCCTGATTACTAAAAAATCAAAATATGACCTATGTTTCAAGTAGCAGACAAAAAAACCCAGTATTTCTGGGCAATAATATTTGTCTGTGCAAAGTAAACAGATTATTTTTAATAAATACATGCAGTTCTCCAATTTGATAGCTGCTTTTGCCTGCATTGCCCATTCCTTGTAATTAATTGAGGCCTAAGAAATTGCTTCCAGAACATCTGATATAACGTTTTTATCCAATTAAGTCAATAATCACAAGGATTTGGAGTTCTCCACTAACACATTATAGTTCAATATTAGTTGATACTAACTTGTCAGCTTAAGTGGATTAATAGCTGGATGTCATTAGCAGGTTGTGTGAAGGTTCCTAATCCATTTTAGGATGAAGCTAGACAGGTTAGTTTAAATCATCTTAGTGGGGTTTCAATTAGCCTAAACCCATACTATGTACCAGTATGATGATATACACATATGTCTTTTAAATCTGTATTTACTTCAGTGGTTTCTCTCTCAAATGCATTAGTCAGCATCTCTTTGTTGAGAATAAATACCCTCCTGTGTCTGTCAGCTGAGCTGTTCCGTGTACTCACACCTGCATCCACTGCAGTCAAGTTATCAAAACATCATTACTAGTTTAAGCTGTATCTGAAATACTTTATAGGGAAGGTATCATAAATTCTATATGAGAAATTATATTTCAAAACATTAATTCATTATTTGAGCTATGTTATATTTCTAAGAAGTTACATTTAACAGAATGAAATTTCATTTAAATGCTACAGATTACAGGGAAATCTCTTTACCTGAAATACTTCTGTGTGCCTCCTTAAACTTCAACAGACCTACACTGATACATGCAACTGAAAATGCAGCAGGAACATCACAATGGTGGAGAATGCATCAAATGCACATTTCATCTTCTGAATATTTATGGAATAATATGAATTATTCTGTCCTCTAGTTGTAACTACCCTGTGGTAACTGTTGAAAATAATTAATTTACTACTCGAGTAATTTACTGTTATCAGTGTGGGTAACATTCTAAGTCATTCTCCGCTTATTTACTGAGGAAAAATGTATTAGATATATTCTGATCCCCCACAACTCCCTGTACTGTAGTCATGTCATGTGGCCACGTGAATTAACATGCTTATACTCAGAAAGCAGCACTTCAGACAGCTGAACTCTTTTGTTTGATGGTGCATCTCCCTTTTAGGCTTGTCTCCTTTTATGCCCACCACCATTCTTGCTCTGCTTTTTCTCTGTTATTGCACAGTGATTCACTCCATCATCCTTCTCACAACTCCTTGCTGCAAATTAGCCTTGGGTATAGCTGTTCTGCAGCTTCTTAACCACATACACCTGGAGTCCCAGAAAGCAAAATGGTCACTGAAGAGACATTTCAAGAAACAGTAGGCTGAGGCTCAGCTATCTTCTCCACTGTTACACATAAGCCAGGCATGAGAGGTTACTTTTTGCAAACCTTTCATCTTTTGAGGCACAGCATTAAAAAACACCGGATTTCTAATGCTTGACAGAGTTCAGCGTAAGACAGCAAAGTCGCTAAAAAACCTAAATCATTAGATTTCATAATAGCTAATTTTTTCAGGGCAGCATGGAGAGGTATTGAATGGGTTAAGGAGAGGGATGGAGTGAGAGAAAGAATGACCCGGTAATGTCAGTCTATTTCATGGACTGATACAAACAGCTGTCCTTAAATTACAACTTGCTGTTGCTAAGTTTCTGTCCTGCTGTGTGTTTTCTGGCCTACTAGAAGGTGATTCCTTTGAATGAAAAAATAAACTTTTTTGGATTAAATGTACATGAACCGAAGTTTGGACTATATCTACCTTCAAAAAAAGGGAGTTTTTCTTACTGGTCATGGTTTGGCGGCAAACCAAATACTGGTGGTTGTTGGGAAATGGACAAGGTAAGGCTCCCTTCATTTATCAATCAATGTGGAAACATATTTCCTCAGCATCCACTGCAACCATTACCAGGGGATCCAAAATCCAATAAAATCCGGTTCCTCAGAAGAAGGAATTCTGCAAGCGTCAGCCCCATAAACATCATCCATTCCTTTTGGGCAGTTAATAAGGAGAGTCAAATTTGCACACTTGTATTAGCCCAATTTAGTTTCACGAAGGGAGAATTCAAATTTTTTATCCTCGATAAAATATTTGTGCAACCATATTAAGCTCTTTTCTGCTCCAACTCTTCAATTCCACTGTATCTTCCTCCCCTTTCTTTATTGTAAAAGGAAATAAATAATCAATATAAGAATCTTCATTATTTATTTTGATCTTTCATTATTTGAAAGTTAGAATATAGTTTTAATAATTTTTAACTTAGCTATAGAAAGATTTGATTTGTTAAAAGAAAAAAGAAAAAAGAAGAGACTAAAACATGCATATAAGTCTCTGTCTTATACAAAATAGAGTGCAAGGCCTTAACACAATACGTGCTGTTTGAAATGCTGTTCGTCTTCTGTATTCCGTATCTTTAAGAGTGTTCCCCCTTGGAGCACTGAGACAGTGTTTAGAGGATTTATAACAGAAGTTCTGGGAAGTGAAGGAAAGCAGTACATACAATATTTTTAGAGTAAGGATTGCTTTTCAGCTACTTCTGAGGAATATAACAAAGTCGAAACAAAAGTAATGCTTCATGCTTAATGAGACAGAAACAAATTCAGAGTTATGTTAGATGCTTTCATTACAATAGCAGTACATCTGGATCTGTAAATCCAAATGGAACTGCATTGAACATCACATTTACATTCTTTAAATTTTTTATGTTCTTTTGTTCTTTATGTTCTCTTTGTGTCTGCCCGAATTAAGGTGTAAATGAGACCATATGCTGAAGTCAATAGTACAGAATTTTATTTAACATAAATGTGAAGTAGAGATAGAAATAGAAAAAAAGGTGGTGGGTGGGAGAGAAAGAGAGTAACAGAGGGACAGATTAAGTAGAAAATGTATAACCTCTCCATGGATTCTGATGGCATCCCATTGATCTTCTTATGATCTCAGCAGTGAAGGTTCCAGTCTCGTCAAAGTCATGGTTGCAGTCTGGATCCGTCAAGGGAAGCCCAAGGCAGTGAGGGAAAAAGCCCATGAAACGCAGAGTTGATAGGGGGTTTATTATGCTTAGGCTAGGTGGGAATGCCCCGGTACCTCCCCTGCGTGGGGAGTTTTATACTGGATGATGCAATATTGGATCACAGTACACTGCAGGAATCTGACACCTTCTAAGATGTTACAGCCGCCTGTTACATCAGTGCTTTTGAGTGCATTATGGCCCATTATGGCCCATCAGCAGAGATATATATCTTTAGGGTAGGTGTGAATTGTCGTGATGCTTCCCCAGACAGTTATCACAGCCGAGTCATTTGTTTAAGGACAAAGAAACGCGACCCCACCTCGCAGGATTTGCCTCTTTCTTTATCTTGTTCAACACTCAGTTTGTAGCTCCAAATGTCGGGTGTGCCCGCCCTCAGCACCTGGGTGGTTACTTGGCACACCATCAGCTTGCACCTTGATTGTTTGAGCCATCAGCATTCCAGTCTCTCACACTTGTGGATAGATTCTTCTCCTAGGATAATTGGACAACAGTACCATCTTTATCTTATCTCAAGTTCCCTTCACAGTCCAAATTAGTAGACATATTCAGGGTGGAGTGGGCTTCAGCGCACAGTTGTTTCTTTGCACAATTTGCTACAGTGGACAAAAGCCTTTTAGTGATTTTAACAATGTTTAAGCAATTAACTATTTCAGTCTCTCACAACTATGGAAATTATGAAAAAGCATGACACTAAAATGAATGTGGAGTTTATTTACATGTTTTATATTTAATATAAAAAGTAAGATTCTTGAAATTCTTTGTATGTACTTAATGTTTATGGTAACATTATTATGGCTTAGTTATTCAAGGCTAGAAGAAAAAAAAATCTGTTTTTTTTACTGCATCTTTTTAATCTGTCCTCAAATAGTGTGATCTCTGTCCATATTGAAGTATAATTATGTTCCAAAAAAGACACAGCATGATTTAGAGCACAGATAATCTCTCCTCAGTCACTCCTGATTTTGTGATTGACCATCTTGACTCACTCTGGACTATGTTTACAGAGAATCAGAAGCTCTAAAGAGCATAGTACTGAGACATCAGTATAGCTTTAGACTATGACAGCAGAGTTCAACTTACATTATTGGTTTGGGCATTCGGCCAACATTACTGGAGCTCTTAGCAACAGTGTGAGACAAAGAAACAAAGAGAGAAAGCAAGGAGGCAGTAATGAACCCTTGTGCTGGAGCAGAAGCTAGGGGCAGCAATGGTGTGGTTGAAAAAGGTGGAGAAACACTGCTATGCTACACATTTTCTAAGTGGTTAAAGCTTTTCTATTTCATACAGAAAAATATATCCAGATTTGTAAGCATGTATATTTTTAGGGATGCACACACACAACACAAACACAAACATAAATATGTTGCTGTATAAACATTAATTTTGTATTTTTAAGTGTCTAGATATTAGGAGAAATTCAAACAATGTTTTTATACTTAATTCCCTGAAATGTGTGTTGGCGGATATTTTTGAGAGGAAAACAAAGTAAAATGGATACTCTGAGCTACTGCAGTTTGCCAAACTCTTTAAATTTATTCAGGGCATCTTAGGAACATATAAATAAAGACAAAGTGGCAAAATATCCAAGTGCTTGTCAGATTTAAGGAAACAACATATATTTCCCCCCCCCCCGGAAAGGAATTATTTAATTTAAGAATGTTTACTGGCATCAGTGTTGGTTTTGCTGGTAGACAGTGAGTAAACAAGTTATAATGCCATCTACAATAACTTAAAGTCTTAGCTTGCTGCTGTCAAATTCAAGGGCAAAGCTCCTATTGACTTCACTGGAGCAGGGATGAAGAATGGGACTAAATAAAGTTCAAGCTAGCTTGAAATTTATGGCACACAAGCTCATTCTTATTGTTGTAAATGTGTCTGATATGCCACTTTTCTATACAAAGAGATAAACGTTTCTGAGCATTTGTTATTTTACATTTGTACTTTACTGAGCGTGGCAGTTTTTATTTCTAACACCAGCCTAATTTTCCTGAATTTTTTTCAGTAACGTTATTCTGTTTGGTTTGACATTATATTTTGGACTTTTAGACCCAAATTGCAGATGTTTACAATAGGCTAAGAACAAGAAAAAAGGAGGTTTTAAGACTAACAGTTTCCATTATAATGCCTGCTAATCTACTTAACTGAATCCTTCTTTCTCAGATAATTTGCCTTCTCTGTTCTTTTCATTTTTCTAAACCAGCATTTGTTGTGGAGCTTATTAAATTTATTTTGCACCCTATGTATTTTACTATGTTGAACTAATGGTCTTCAAAATTCTTATATATGTTAATTCCTGAATTGCTTTATATCCAGGACTCGACTGCTTTTGCAGTTGCAGTTGTCTGCATTAAAACACTTGCGTGACAATTATCGCATATCCCAATTCTATCCCTTTTCTTTAACTATACCTAAAAAAGAGTCATCTTGATAACTTTAAATCAAACTGGAAATAAGAAAATCCATATATAGCACATTCATAAGTCCATGTGTTCAGGTGTTTATTCAGTTCCTATTTCTTTCTCTGTGTTCTGTTTTTCAGCTAATAACTGATCTTTTTATTCTTTTAAACTTTCCCTTAGGAACTGTCTATTAAATTAAGAACTAATTTAAGAATAGCATTCAGTCCAATCACAGTACTTTGAAAGTTAGTACTTTATAAAAAACTTACTTTCAATTTTGGAAACTGCAGATTACCCATCATCTCTTATGCCTCAATGGAAACCTAAAATGGGAGA